ACCTTAATAATCTGATTGTAAGTCTATCAACAGTGATTGTTTCATTGAATAATATTAAAGTTGTAATTTATTGATTGATTATAATTATATTTATTCAATTTTATGATCCATATTTGTATTATACATAACTAGTACTCATTATATAAGCTCACAGCTCGACAGAAATATTAGTTCATATCCTAACATTTCCTTAGGTCGTATGGATATGAAAAATGTAAACATATCTCGTATCATTGATTATATTAATATAAAGCTCTTATAAGTAAATAAGTTCCTTCTTAATTTCAAAGCACATAATGTAGAAACAATTATGGCTCGATGTGATAGTTTGAATTAATAGCCATGGTACAATCGACCATTTTCATTCGATGTATTAATAGATTTTTTTTAAATGTATAATAATTGTTTCTTTGATTTAATTATTCATATGGGGATGACCTTTGATGGACTAGGACATGATGTTGCTTTTTGGTTGCGCAGCAAGGGGCAAAAAGTCAACAGGTGCATAACAATAGAGGTAGTTCCCATGACTCCATCGCCATCCTCGGATAGTCTTAGGTCATCGATTACATATTTCAGGCATTAATAGCCAGGCATACCGTTAGGCCATTATCCAACTGATTGTGGGTTGTAATCCAACTCCAACTTCTGCAACTCTGCAAATTGCCGTTGTACATTATTTGATTCAAAGGGCAAATTGTATAATTTAAAAAGAAATATACATCTTTGTATCATAAACCTCAAATTTTAATACCCTAAATTTTTTTGTCAATTTAGAATCATAGAATAGTCGTTTTCCATTAGTTCTTAGTAGATAGACATGAAGAATTCAAAAGTTTCAGAGTAAAATTTTGGTGAAGATCTTAAACAATTTTTTCGTTGTTAGTTATCAAGTTATGTATTACTTTATATGCCATATATAGAGAATTTACAGAAATATACAGAAATTTATTTTTGTATTATATCTCTTATGTTTTTATTAATTTTAAATAATTTTTACACTATTTATTCTTATTTCATTTAAAAAAAAAAAAATCACCTTTGAAAAAAATATTTTATTTTTTAAAATAATACCTGACTATAACTAAGTATTTTAAAATTTTCAATTGTAAATTTAATTTAATTAATAGTAGGTATATTGTTCGATCTTAGGTCCTTTAACTTTATTTTAATTTACGTGTAATAGTACATTTCATTGACTCTTTAAAATCTGATCGCTATAAAAACAAATTAATCAAAATTAAATCAAATAACAAAAACCAAAAATATAACAACAATCAATATGCTGTATATAAAATTTTATACATTAAAAATTATTTTCGACTGTTAACTGATGAAAATCACGAGCGAATCTACGGGGATGGGGAGTGCTTTGGGGCTGAAGCCCTCCCCCCTAAATGGTGAAATATATCTATTTTTTATGGAAAAAAAATTAAAAGTGTATCTCTTAAAGTATTATTGTTCGTGTAATAACATTTAAAAGGACTTCAGGAATCACTTAAACACCATTTCCTATAGGTAGTTAGTTTCCTTCTTTTTTTCCAAAGTAATTATCGTTATTTTTATGAAAAGAAAGCTTTCGGGATGAAGCCCCTCCCCCCCCCCCAAAAAAAAATTTAATCCTGGATCCTCTAGTGATGAAAATTGTGGGTATATACTCTCATTTATATGTTGTATCTGTATTATCTTATATAGAAACCACATTTAAATAAATTACGCCATTGTGAATAATTCATAAATGTACAGTTTCTTAAATGAATTAATAATTTAAAATGATTTTTAGTAATATCTTTAATATGATACAGGTAATAGTTGAAAGTGAAGTGTTTTTAAGTTGCATTTTTAAAAGCAGATATGATGATATATAGTCAGCATATCTCAATTAATTATATAAAAACAAAAATCAACCATGACTATACGTAGATTAAAATAAAAATAAAAAAAATTGTGGGACAGAAGATCGAACATTTTGCCTATCATTAATATTAAAAAAAGTTTCAACCAATCTACATAAAAAAATATTTAATTTAATTTTAAATTAAAAACAATTCTAACGATGGGTGTAAACTGTAAAACGAAAATACCAGACATGTGTTTTTTTGTTGTTAAACTACCAGCAATAAAAGATCCAACAGTAGTAACGTTGTAAATGTTTTTATAGCTGCGGTTATGGGGAATTCTCATTAATTACCAGCAAACAGGCGGTTCTATCTCCGACTTCCCCCCTGTATAATTTTTTTAATGATTTCTTATTTGTGATTTACCAATTTCCATATGTTCACTAACCCACATACTTACGAATTATTCCCACCGGTCAACTAGTCCTTTATAATAACCACACCAAATTTCTTTCATTGTGGTGAGCGATATTATCGACAGAAAAATGAGGAAATGAGTGAGGATATATTAATAAGGAAAGATAGAGGAATCAATTCTTATTTTCTTGGTAATAATTATCTTATTCTTGATCGATTATAGAATCGATCAAGAATAAGATAATTATTTAAAACACTACATTTATCATTTAAACCAACATGTTTCCAAATTACAGTACGATGTATCCTTGCTAATAATGGTATGATTTCGTTGATTTTTCACTTTTTTATTTTTTGGGGAATTTAGTAACCTTTCAAATAATTATAGGTGGAACCAACTATTAAAAGTATGGTTTTTGAGCTATTCCCAAATAAAGTTTCTTTTCCTTCATACAATTTTTTCCTTAATTTTCGAGGGATGTGAATATGTTTCTCACCTCATGGAGACAAAAATCTTCGAAGTGAGGGCTCAATCGTTGGATTTGATGAAGAATTAACCAAGATTATGGCCTACCGACAAAAAAAAAAACTTATTATTTACAGTTTTAGTCGTAAAATATATAATTACAATTATAATTAAACTTTTTTTTTTGTGTTAAATCCTAAAATATTTGTTATTTTAATCGAAAAAAGAAGATCATAAAAATGAGGCGGGTTCGAGTCAGGTTTTTATGGATTTTTTAATTGAAATAACAGACATTAAATTCCAGTAATGGAAACGTAAAGGTTTTCAACTACCGTTCCAAAGAATTCCCATTAGTTAGGCATTAATTAATTTTTTTTCCTTTGTTTTGTTTCTCAAAATCGGTTGTATTATTTTTATTTCCTCAATTTATGTTAAGTTATTAGATGTTCAATGCATGTTTTTATTTTCTCATGTGTTAAAATATTTTATTATCTATGAAATAAATATATATATGTATATGTGTATTTATATATTTATATATATATATATATATATATATATATATATATATATAAAACTAATATGATCGTTTTTAGTGGTGTTTTTTCAGTTTTCTAACTATTTTTTTCATATTTTAATTCTGAAAATGAATGAGATTATTACCGACCTTATATATAAATCAAGATAACAACATTAATATTAAATCTCAATTTCTGAGAATTTGTATGAACAGTTATACATAAATATTATACTCAATAATTTAATTTAATTCTTTCTTTTTTTCCCAAACTATTTCAAGAAACAAGATAATTTATTATAAGATTGTATGAATTATTCAGGTTGTATAACCTATAAAAAACCGATGAGTTTATTTTGGGTGTTCAGACTGTAATCTTTTATTATGAACTTTTATATTTATATATTAATTAAACTGTTTAAATATACTATTTATTTGGTAGGTTCTCTTTGAAAGAATAAAAATTAACTACTCTATCAAAAAAGTACAATGTTTGCCTTTTAGTCTTCTTAAACATAGAAAGACTAACTCCTCATGTTCTAAAAATTGTTTTATTGTTGTCTGGCCAGTGTTCCAACTGCCTCCCGCAGTGCCACATCCTACGCCCTGAAGACGACCTGCAAAGTGGGTCGAAACGTCGGCAAAAATTAAAATAATTTATATATTTTAATTTTTTTATTTATTTCACCGCACCCTCGACTAACTCCTTCTCATATTATATCAACGGTCAACCATCTCTACATCATTTGGCCAGTGTTTCAACTGCCTCCCGCAGTGCCACATCCTACGCCCTGAAGACGACCTGCAAAGTGGGTCGAAACGTCGGCAAAAATTAAAATAATTTATATATTTTAATTTTTTTATTTATTTGACCGCACCCTCGACTAACTCCTTCTCATAAAAATTGTTTTATTGATCTAACTATTAGAACATTTTTTTTTTCATCTTCAAACACGCTTCATTGTAGCGATTGTGAGTGTATAATCCTTTGTGAACTTTTTGGAGTGAAGCAGCTGGAATTCCGTCGATTCTAACTCCATCAAGCCACAGAGAAATCCAATCAATGGCAAGCCACCGTGATTGCGGAAAGCTGACTAAATAGAACGAGTTTTTTATATACAATAAAATAATAATAAGCATCGTTGGTCAGTAAATGCATTATCCTTATATCATTTGTATTCTTAGTAATATCTGACAAAAATCAGGTAAAATCTTCCTGCATTCGATACAGCCAGTCGATGAACGTATAGTGGGTTACGTCTTGGGGAGTAGCTATAATACATGTAGAATTGTTTAGGAATTTATTGGAATAGAATCGAGTAATTTTCCCTGATGTTTTGTGCACAAAACAGCGGATCAGGCATCTGTACGCAACCTAATCTATTGTAACGATTACCCAACATTGTTCAACACGTTATCGGGTAGAATCGTTAATTAAACACCTTTTAATTCAGTTTTTTTTTTTAAAGTAAAACATAGTTATGGTATGATGGATTTCTTATTTATTAGGATCAACACCATAAATCAATATTCTATTAAAATAATAATACTGAAAATTGAAGAACAGTCATCCGCTTGAGGTTCTTTAGGTAATGTTACGAATCTTAGTGTATCTAATGGAAAACTGCTGCTATAAGGGAAAGAAGCATTATGTACTAACTTTTTGTTTCAGGCTTGGGCTGTGGAAGTACTTTAACGTAAGGGAATTGTATACTTATACATTTCCAATCGTTATCTGCCTGTTTTGAGGTTCGAAGGAGTTTTACATTCGACGGAGTGTAGAACCTAATCCATTCTTCAGTTGTCGCTTGGGATCCTCTCGTGCACAGACCGGTCGATACCTTCACTGCTACTGCTCTAGCACGTACACCACTCCCGGACCTCATGGAGAGGTGATAGCCCCCACCACCCCCGTCCGGTAGGATTGGCTGCCGCCGATGTTGTGTTGGGCGGGTAGAGAGGGGGTGGTGGTGGGGGCGGTTGGGGCTGGAGACCCCCACCAGGGACCTTCTACCAGGACAGCAGGAATTCATAGGAGCTCCTCTTTGGACCCTGCCCTTGTGTCGTCGGCTCTTTTCCTGTCCTGCCACTCCTGGTAGTTGATGTGCGTAGGATGTGGTGGAAATTTGCTCGGATCACCCCTCCTCTACCGTGGAGAAGCAGTCCCTTCCTACTCCCCATCCTCGCGAGCGCGGTCAGAACTTGCTCCCAGTAGCTGAGGTTGTCTTCGTAGTGGAGCACTTTCTCTTGGTGGAAGATAGTGAGATAGTGTACTGACGCCGCCCTCTAGTTGACGTTAACAGCCTTTACACTTGATCAATAAATAAAATAATAAACTTATAACATATAATATAACACACATATATATATATATATATATACCTTATAATATAAACTTGAAACATTTAAAGACAGTAAAGAAGTGAAGTTTTCTTCACTATGCTGCAGAATTTATCTTATTGCATATGATAGTTCATTTTTTTTTAAATGTCTTTAAATGTTTCAAGTTTATATTATAAGTTATATATATACCTTATAATATAAACTTGAAACATTTAAAGACCGTAAAGACTCGTTCTTCACTATGCTGCAGAATTTATCTTATTGCATATGATAGTTCATTTTTTTTTCTTTATTTTTCAAATTGGGAACATTCTTCCAATAAATGTTTGAATGTATCAGGTATATGACTGCTAATCATTTACTAGCGTTGAAGAGAATCGGATCTTTGTTTTCAAAATCTTTCAATAATATTTTTTTTACAAATTCCTTCTCGAACGTCTCGGGCTATATATATTAGTGTTGCCCAAAATCGGTCTTGACCAAGGCCGCCTAACTATTGCAAGACCAAGACCAGGACTGGTAAAAAAAAACGATGTTTTTAATAAAAAATTAATGCAAAATAGTTACTAATACTCGACAATCTTAGTTACTATATGTAAATAATTGGTATATCCAATATAGTTTTGCATTTAATTCCTCTAATTTCTCATTCAGGCTTAGTTCGGTTTCTCCTATCTACAAAATACAGTACTGTAAGACTGTTGCGAGACTCTTGTGCTAGACCAAGACCATGACAAAACTGAGTTTGCAAGACCAAGACTCGTCTGGGTCTCGCATTTGGGCAACATTAACATATATATATATATATATATATATATATATATATATATATATATATATATATATATATACCTGTTTGGAGTCCGAGTCGTTCGAGAAAGAATTTGTAAAAAAAATATTGTTGAATTTTTTTTTTTTTAAATTTATTTATTGAGTATTACAACAATCGGTCTCTTGGACATTGGTTATAGTGAGGTAGGATAACATTCACACTTATTGAAATATTATTGAAAGATTTCGAAAACAAAGATACTCTTAATCGCTAGTAAATGATTATCAGTTATATACCTGAAACAGTGAAACATTTACTGGAAGAATGTTCCCAATTTGAAAAAAAAAGAAAAAAAAAGAGAGCTATCATAAGTAATAAGATAAATTCTGCAGCATAGTGAAGAACGAGTCTTTACTGTTTTTAAATGTTTCAAGTTTATATTTATTCATATTATAAATGATAGTATAATGATATTTTATAGTCCGTGGTATCGACCCTTTTTTATCAAATTATTAAAAACCGCCTAAAACTTCGTGTATATGGCTTTATATTATCATAACCTACAATTTTTTTATTTATTAAAATTCTCGGAATTTGGGCATTTTAAATCTGTAGATTGAATTGATTACCATTTAATTAGGTACTAAAACCTCATTATCATCCATTTGCTTTACAATTGAATCGTAAGATAATTTTTTCACAAAATCGAGGTAAAAAAAGGTGGCCTACAAATATATTCGGCCATTTGGCCTAGGCAACCTTGTTATTTTGGCATGTTGGTTTGGGGTGATATAAATTGTGAAGTTTACTAATATATTTTTTCTATATATGGTGGAAAGTTCTCATCACGTACGATATAGAAATGGCAGTTGCTCATGTCCTCACATAATCTCGAAACCATAAAAGTCAATAAATTATATTAATTTGTGTTAAAACGTGAGTTAAATGGTCAGTGTAAACAAATAAACCAGAAACTCTTCAATAGATTTATTTATAATCTCATTTTAAATATTTTCAAACTCAATAAAAATAAAATATTTAACTGTGAGTATTAAAAAAAAAACGCTGCAAATGATTTCACAATGGTTTATTATCTCCAAACAATTATACATCTAAAGTAACATTACCTTCCGAGTTACAAAGAAAAAAAAGGTGATTCCAATTATTAGACTAAATTGTTTTTCTTTAATTATTAGTAATATGCTAAAAAAAAAAATAGCATTATTTCAGTAACACATTTAAATTTTAAAAACCAAACCAAGGATATAACATTTGGAGTAGAACACATAGAAACAAACCAGAGACCATATCTTTGCTCCTAATTGTCCGATTTTAACGATTGTTTTTTTTTTTTTTTTTTTAGGAAATTTCATAAACTTTTAAAAAACCATAGTAAAGACTATGGTAAAAACTTTTCGAGTTATTCGGAATTTAATTTTAACATCCCTCGTAACTTTTTTTCCAGCTTCTTTTCGTTGAAGTATGTTATATAGATAAATTTAAAGGGCTTCGAGAAAATGACTTTAGCGAAGTTTCATTGAAATCTGTACATTCGTTTAAGAGCTACAGTCTATAGCAACGCAGGTTTTTCGGCCGCCATTTTGAAAGTTAAAGGCGGAGAGTAATGTCGATGAAGGAGGATCATCCTCGGGTGATCTCTGATTTTATATCAAAATTTGAAAAAAATCGGTCCAGTAGTTTCGGAGAAAATGCTCGGACGGCGGACGGATAAAAAATTTTTTATTTGTTTTTCGAATTCTACGCATCTTGAAACGTGAAACCTCAAATTTTGAGAGGGGGTTATGTTTTTGAATTTTTTGGTCGATCACAATGTTTCATTATTGAAAATAATAAACCAAAAAAGTCTATAATTTTACTTCACAGTCAAAATGATACCACTCAGTTCCTATTAACTTTTAAATAATATTAATTTAGTCCAATACCTAGTTGGCAAGCCATTATTTTCTACCACTCCTTTCAGTCTGTTTACAATAATGGACCAATTTTTGGTGATTCCGGGCTTAGCCTATTCCATTCTTTGAGTGGAACAGCCTGTGTATGTATTCGCAAAATATCACTTCTCAATTTAAAAAAAAAATATTACCAATTGATGTGTATCTCGACTAATAGTGGTCCGATTTCTATGATTTATTTCCCGATTTTTGTAGGAATTAATTCTCTGGAATTGATTGCCGATTAATCATAAATTGCAAATTTTTTGATTAATCAAGTTTCCTTTCTTTATAATATTTTTTCCGGGGGAAATATTTTTTTTATACGTTATATTATTTTAAAAAACATAGATGGGTCTACTATCACCTTAATAGGTTTACATCAGATTGTTTGTATGAGGTCGAGTTTTGTTGTATGTTGTAAGTTGCATGATTTTTGTCGAAACTTCGCCATTAAAATTATAAGATAAATGTAAAAATTGGTGATTAAATGACCATTTACCTTGACAAGCAACATAATAATTAAGTATGTTAATTTGATTATTTGTATGAATTCTTGTTTTTGTTGTATGGACTGTGACGCTTGTATTATTAGTATTTGGACTACTATTATATACAAGGACTAATATTAATGTACTTTGTACTAACACCCAGCAAGATCATTTTTTCTTTTTTTTTTTAGTTTAATAAATCTTACAGATCATTATGTAAAGACATAATTTTATATTCTTTAAGTTATTATTATGTAGTAGTATGTACTGAGTGAACAAACTGGACAATTTTTTTAATTTAATTTATATATATATATATATATATATATATATATATATATATATATATAATAGATATATTTGTATTATATATCCGTGGTAGATTGTAAGTATCTGGAAACAAGATGGGTCCTCGATTTGGGAGATACTACAGTGGCTTAATAATACAGTGCGGTCATACGGATGAGACAGCCATATTGGATCGGCGGGAAACTAATATTTTAATAGTCTGTCTTTGTTATTTCAATTTAAAAAGTAATTGTTGCAACAAACTATTTACTAGAATGGTTTGGGAGATAAAATTGAAGTTGAACAATCTGAATGAAGCATATGAATCACTTATATCACGCGAAAATAAATAATAAAATCAAACACCAAAACAGTGTTTACAACTATTCCATAAAAACTACCTATTAGTAAACTAAATTTATTACTAAAACAACACAATTAAACTTTTAAATAAAATATCACTAATGAAATAAGTCTGTAAAGATGAAACCTATCACTGAACATGAAACCAAAACTATCGCTTTAAACACTAAAACGTACAACTATTCAATAAAAACTATCTATTAATAAACTAAACATATCACTTAAACAACAAAATTAAGCTTCTAAACTAAAATACTGCTAATAAAATATGAAATTTTAACAGTTTTGAGGTGCCTAAAGAGCAAACAGATAGCAAGGGACGATCCAAGATGGCCAACCAATCAGAAATCGACTCCATATGACCGCACTGTATTATTAAGCCACTGTAGGAGATACTCACTTGACCAGACTCGACCCCACTCCACCGAGACCTAGCACTAGAGCTAGCCCCGATGTCCTTGCTCCTTTGTATTGTCCCTTTATCTCCTGATTTACTCTTTGATAAAGAGGAACTCGCCTGCTCAGTAGTGCCCGGGGCATGGCGTCCTCTCCACCAGCTGTTGGTCTTCAGATACCGGTAAATTTCTTATCTAATCTCCCTCTTCCTTCTCGTTATCAGTTGAGGTCGGATGGGTCATAGAGTCTGCTCCTGATCCGGTCGCAAAGAGAACGCGTTGGTAATGTCGTCGCTCGCGCTATCTTTTGATGGTTTCAACATTATAGGTAATCTAGAAAAATCATTACATAACCTTACATTATTTTTGTGGTTCTAACATCATTTAACGTGTTTTATAAACTGCCTTAACCTACAGTTCTAAAACTATGCAGAATGGTTAAATGGTTAAAGTGTTTTATTTATGCTTTTTTTTTTATGAAACTCAACTTTTTTTTTTTTTTTATAAAATGTTAATCGACTCAAAAAATCAACATACTTATACTGAACAGAAAATCTTACATGTTAAAACAATAACGAAAAATTTAAATTAATATAAATTGGTGACTTTATTGAACATTTCGTTACATTTTCTTTATTGAGTAATATTACAGTTTTTCAAAATAAAGGAGATTTGTAAGAGAGATAGCGTAGCTCATTTACACTCTATGTACGATAAATACAAATAAATTAAATGCAGCTACTGCAAAGTAATAATACTAAAATTAAATAAATAAAATAAAAAATCCTAGTTCATAGTATGATCGGAGTGTTTACCGTACCTAGATAGATAAAAATCTATTTTAAAATCGTAGTAATCTGAAAAAATTACAAGGTATGAGAAGCGAACTCAAATTCGTTGTTAGGGTTTCGAATCCATTACAGTTCATAAACATTTTGCGTAATAAACATGACACGTCTAACGTATTACGGTATATTCATAAATTTTCCGTGATGAATTATATTTTTTTTTCCTCATTCTATTCTTAAAACCATTTACTAACTATACGTTTCGGTGACAATGAAGGAAATTCTCGTTTAAAAAAAATATTTGTATGCCAATTAAAGGGCGTTTTGGCTTCTTTAAACGAGTTTAAAAATCAGTAAAATAGTTGTTAGCATTGTGTTTTTCTTGTCAAGACTCATTTAATATTTTTATTTATATGTCAAAAAGAGGCTGCTTAATTTATTTTACATTTCTTACATGTTTATATCATAAAAATTTATAGTTTTGTTCATAAGCACTCCAGTATTGTGAAAAATGAATATTAATCAAGAAAAGTTTATTAAGATTTAGTCAACAGCCAAATATTTTTAAAAAATAATTTATTACATACAGTATGAATTATATATGTTGACAATAAATCATTAATTAGCATGTAATGCAAATATCTGAATTTTTTTTTTGAAAAATTTGAAAAGTCAGGGAATTTCGTAAAGTATTTTTGGTAGATAAAAATTTATTAAATTCAGGAAAGTTTTCATTTAGTGTCATATCATTATCTGCATCTAAGAGATATTAAATAAAACGAATAGAGCAATTGAAAGGTAAATAAATAAAAATTAATAAATAAGTAAAGTACTAACACAAAGTGTTGGAAAGTTTAGAATTAATATAATAAGATGTCGATTTTGAAACAAATATTTTTAGAACATTTACCGGAGTCCATTTGATGAATCTAGAAAAATTATTTCCATCATAAATCACAATATTGAAATTGATATATACAAATAATTTTTTTCCTTGTGATAAAGTATTCATTCATAATTTTAAATGAATAAATCTCCTTGTGTGCATGTTTGATAAGGTTATCAAAGAGAGTGTATATATATAGAAATATCATGGCGGCAGGTTATTATTATTTTTTTTTCTTTTAATTTACAATCTTTATCAAATGCATTTGACATGTTAGGTGCTTATTATTATAACTGAACCTAATGCCAATTTGTTATTATTTCTTCATGTATGATTTTATTTTTAATGCTTACCCTTTGTCGTTTTATTTTTTAAATGAAAAAAAAATCATAAAACGGAGTAAATCATTCAGTTTAAATATATCTTTTGTTAACTTAATTTTTTTTTGACGAATTTGGTTTGAGTCAACTTAAGAGGTAGTTATGCACCATGGTATACCTGATTGTAATTAATTTTTAAAAATCTGATACGTTACCTAATCAAGTAACGACATTCTGTCTAAAAAAATGAAAACAAAATTTTAACTAAAAAAAAAATTAAAAGTTTGACAAAATATAGAGCGATAATGTTCCAATTATATTGACATTACACCATTACATTTCTCAAAAATATTAATATATCTCACTAAATGTGAGGGAGGGAGAAGAAGTTGGGAGCTGTACATATTGCAAAAAATTATACAGAAAATAAAATTATTTTTCTTTCTAGTTTTTATAATTTAAAAAAATATTTATATTATGGTTTTTTTTAAGGCCTAAGAAATGTTTTGAGTCGAAGATTCGGGGATAGAGGTTTTGTCATAATTCCAATTAAAAACAAATTAAAAGTGAACATATTTTTAGCTTTTTATGTTATTACACGAAGTCTTAAATAGCTAAGAACTATTCATAGTCGTTCATCCAACTCCACTTGAACTTAACAAAGGAATACTTTTATGAAACTCAATGAAGAATTACTCCTTCAGATAATTCGAATTCAGAAATGCTTCTATTAAACAATAACGTTATTGTAAATGTTATTAATAGAAAAATCCCAACAACAAAGCCATGAGTTTCCAACATGCAAGTGAATTCATTTTTATTATTAATTTTTTTTTTTTTTTTGTCGCAAGTGTTTTATTATTATATTTGAGTTATAGTTTGTTTTTTTTATTTTTTTTTTTATCCCCATTCCTGTTATGTCATTGTTTCATGTATCGCCATCACATTTGCTGATTGTCTACAATAAGGTGCAAACACACCTTTTATAGACAAAAAAAAAAGTTATAGTTTTTTGGTTTATTATTTTCAATAATTAACCATTGTGATCGACCAAAAACTTAACTCCCTCTCAAAATTTGAGGTTTTACGTCTCAGGATACGTAGAATTCAAAGAACGAATAAAATTTTTTTTGTCCGTCCGCGCATTTTCTCCGAAACTACTGGACCGACTTTTTTTTCAAATTTGGATATAAAATCAGAGGTCACCCGAAGATGATCCTCCTTCATCGAAATTACCATCCGCCGTTTACTTTCAAAATGGCGGTCGAAAAACCTGCGTTGCTATAGACTACAGCGTCTAAACGAATGTACCGATTTCAATTAAACTTCGTTAAAGTCATTTTCTCGACGCCCTTTAAATTTATCTAGATAACATATTTCAACGAAAAGAAGCTGGGAAAAACTTACGAGGGATTGTAAAATTAAATTCCGAATAACTCAAAAAGTATACACTTTTTTGTCGATGTTGTAAACTTTTAAACTTTTTCGATGTTGTAGGTTTTTTTATAAGTTTACGGAATTTTCTTAAAAAAAAAAAAAATTGATAAAATCGGACTATTTGGAGCAAATATGTGGTCTCTAAATATTTTTTGTATGTTCTACTTCAAAGGTTATATCCTTTCTTTTTGAATTTGAATGTGTTACTAAGTAATGCTAATTTTTGAAGCATATTACCAATGATTAAAAAAAAAGGTTTAGTCCAATAATTGGAATCACCTTTTATTTATTTTTATTTGTAACTAGGAAAGTAATGTTACTTTAGATGTATAGTTGTTTGGGAATAATAAACCATTGTGAAATAATTCTCAGCGTTTTTTCCCTTGTATTAAGTCTAATCAACTGTTCAATATAACCTTCCTTAGTTGTTGTTAATAGAACCTTCTCCTTCCTTCAGTATGTATTTGGATAGCTTAGTGAGATGTCTACTGAAATAATTTCTTTTCTGTTTTGTTTTTTATTTTTGCATATATGTGATCTTTTTCTATCCGGATGATGCCTGAATTGGTGAAACGTTGGCAAGTTAAATGTTCACTTGCACGTTGGAGACACGTGGCTTTGTTGTTTGGATTTTTCCATTTATAACATAATCACCTTATGTGTCTATTCTAGCTTTATACTTATTTTAGTTATTGTAAATTGAAACAGTTCCGTCTTCCTACTTTATTCACAGGTTGCTCAATCGATACTTTAACGCGTTTTTCCTGTCGATTTTGAAGATAGTTATCTCATTAGCTTTGCAATCAAATTATCTGAATGGAGTCATTTTATTCATTGAATATCATAAAAATATTCATTATCATCCAAGTGAAGTTAGAACTTTACAAATATTTTTCATTATATTCCGATCCAACGTTTCGACCTAAGTTGCTGATTTTCATCAGGGCTCCTACACCTACTGGATGTTCGAATTGAGTGAATATCTTATGAAATGGTGTACTTAGTGCACTGCACTATCTGTCGACACAATTATAAATAAATAAATAATATATATATATATATATTAAAAACAAAACAAAAATAGCACATGAGGAGATAAAGGAAATAAATTGAGTGAAGGATTAAGGGGATGACTTATTATGCAAGATGAGTGGGCATATCTTGAGTGGGAGCCTGGTGTAAACAGGTTTATTGCTACCATTCTACAATAGCGCTCTGATAAACACATCAACCCAGGGTCAACAAATTTTATTCAGTTACAGTTACTGTCACAGTTATTAGTAACTGTTTAGTGATACATATATTGGTTTCGAAGAATCTTTGATTGATGTATTATATATTGTTAATTCCTTATTTTGTATACCATTAGCATCAGATCTTTTTATGTACTCATTATATCTGTATTTTACAACTCGTTACTTGTTTACTAGAGTTGAGGAGGCATAGTCGTTCCTCTGCCTTTATTAGAACGTTCCGTCAAAAATGATTCGTTTTATGAAACTCAATAAAAAATTAATTGAGATAATTCGTTTACAGACATAATCTGCTATTTCTTCTTCTCTTAAACATTGGCAGGGAAAATGCGTTAAAGTATCGATTGAGCATCATATAACATGTAAGGAAGAAACGGAACTGTTTCAATTTTTAACTGACTGAAAGGAGTTATTTTTCATTCAGTTAATGCCAAAAACAGCAAGTTTCCACTTTACGTTTGTTTTTAATTTGAATTATGTCAAAACCTATACCCCCAAATCATTGACTCCAAACATTTATTATATCTTAAAAAAACCTTAATACAATTTTTTTTTTACACGGATCGACCTGTCAGGACCACGCGAATATCATTTCTTGTTCGTCTTCATACCTTCCGCCTTCCTTCTACTCCAATACTCTAATACTCTTTCATCCTCCTGAACTGTTCCTCTCGCTCTTCCTGTGTGCATTTTATTCCTCGCCTCTCCCTCCTCCCTACAAGAACCCCAAGCTCATTTAGGTTTTTGCCAAAAATCTCTCAATTCAAGCAATCCTTATCCATGATTTTTAGCCTACCCAGTTCC